TGCTTATGACCTTGTGAGAAGTGGTTCTCACAACTATAATATTTTTTTCACACTTGCATCTCCTTATAAATGTGATAGTTTGTGGTCCCAGAGCGAGATTTTTCCATCTTTACATAGAGCAGCAAAGAACTGAACCATAAACATTAACATAAAAAGATTAACATAAAAAATATATGTCTTGTCACTGACTTATAATGATAGATATGATTATTATAGAAGGGATAAGCAGTGTGTTGCTGATGTGCTCAAGTGTGTGAATGGAAACTTTCCTTGGTTCTCAACAAAGTCCTTACCTTATCTATTTTAATTTTTTAAAATATTCTTTTAATTAAAAATAATAATGAGTAGAAAATTGGCATGCTGCAAAGCACCAGCTACTAGAATTATACTTATTTATAATACTGCCTTTAATACCTACCTAGTCCCCTTTGATAATCCTAGAGAAATAAAAGTAGCCTGCACAGGGGAAAAAAAAAAAAGGCAAAATAAGCTGGGATGATAGACAGTTCAACTTTGCATGCATGAACACTCTACCTTTGTGTGTCTCTGTGTAATGTATCTCCTACTGGTTAGACTGATATTCTGTGGACTTTCATTACATACAGTACTTCCTATCTCAGTTCAGTCCTCTTTCTCATATGAATCTGACCTGTACAATTCAGGTACTAACCTGACACTCTCTTTCTCCATAATGGAGGAGAGCATTTTGCAGGTTCTTAGATAGATAGCTTAGGGTTTCTTATCACCATGTTATTTCCTAAATAAAACATCTTTTTTTTTTGACATAAGCACTAGCCTGAGAAATGCTTTCTTACAAAAATTATACCCCTATCTTAAGTGTTTTTCTCTCCACATATTTTTTGCACTGTATAAAGCTGTTATCCAACTGAAAAAAGCCACCTTAACAATTATGTTATGGAAACAATATGTTTCCAGTAAATGGATATTTTGTGATTAATCATATACTGTATACCATAGCCATTTTATGAACAGGCATATCACAGAAATCTAAGCTTGTTTGAAACTAAATGGCATTTCTTAAAATGAAACTGAAAAATAAATATTAGTGTTTATATAATCTGAGATTTGCTTTTTCTTTTCCTTTAGTTCTCAGAATATTGTCAGAAGAAAAAGAATTTAGAGGAAAACATCAAGCACTCAAAAATTGGGCGGCAAGATACTGTAAGTTTTATTTAGAACACTTGTGTAATTTTGCATGGTGGCTCAGAGGCCCTAAAAAAATTAATGTATGACAACATTGTCAAATCTTGTGAGATTTTTGTGTTCTTTTATGGGGCATGGTGAGATGATTGAAAAAAAATCATGGGGGGGGCAGTGAGGATGTCCTGGCACCACAGGCACCCCTATTTTGCCATTATATTATATCGTTCAAACCCAAAATGTGGGTTTTTGGTGAGTGGGAGCTGTAGAATGCAGGGTTGTCGGTGTTACCTAAAACACAGCTCTGTGATAGTATTAACATTGTATATTATATGAGGGGAGTTTCTTTAAAATTCTGCTAAATTTGATGATTCCTTTTACAATTAGTTACACTTTCTTTAGAGTATTCAGACCACTCTTTCTGTACTAGATTATGAACATCGTTTTCTAAGGAGTGTGACTAGAGATGCATCCTAATAATCTGCACATACTTGAACCATTATTGCCAAAGATACACACGTTTTTGCACTTAGCTCTAAAATATATAATTAACAGTTAGTATAAATCTTGTCCCACTGTATTAATGTCATAATTACACACCTTGTGCTTGTATTTTTAGAAAAAAAATTGTTACAGTGCAGCAGTTTTATCTGCTACATTTGAAAAGAAATTAGATTCTCTGTATGCTTAGTGACCACTTGATACATTTTAATGATAATAATGATAATTTTATTTTGGATTCTCCCAAATTAAAATGTATTCAGGCAGAACGTGCAGCACTAATAAAGGAACTTAGTGCCTTACAACAGAAGAAAGACCAACTAAAGACAGAAGTAGATAAATACAAAGAATGCGATCCAGATATTGTTGAAGAAATCCGTAAGTTCTGTCTATTATTATAATCCCGATTTCTTCTCCAGTACTTTTTATAATAATCCCATTTACTGAATGTTGCTTTTCATAGCTTTCAGTGATGTTTTCACTGATGAATCTTTAACTCTGGTATCTCTTTCTTGGTCACAATAGTATATACTTCCTTTTTGGTATGTGTGAGTATGTTTGTGCATGTGTATATTTATGTGTATGCTGAAAGGATTAAATTAATTATGTACAGTATATGAACCTGCTGAATAGAAGGTATGTTTTGGAAAATAACATATATAAATTCAGTGGCTTGGATTAAGGGTGTCATATCTGTCATCTTGGTTTGTCTTATAGAGTAATTGTGAATTCTTGTGGAAGGACAGGATAAATCTATGACAAAGATAACTCTGGAGGTTGGTGTCTAAGGAGGAGTCAGGTAGCACAGAGAAGGAAGAAGAGGAAGAGAAGGCTAGAAAACTGGTTCAGCTGGATTCATGCATATGTGAGCAGTGGGTAAAACAGTATCATATTGGCAACATAGTCAGAGGTGTGGGTACTTTTGCCATTTTTGCTGCCACCACTTGAGTCAGGTATGCCGCCATTTGAATGGCTAGTGAAGATCAGGGCAGCCACCATTTGTAGCTTAGGCAGTCACTTTGAAATCAGTAAGGCTGTCTTAGGACCTGGACTTGGCTATTGACATGAATGATATTGTGGCGATGTTAGACTATGTCTGCTAAGAAGAGGAAGAACTGCTGTTGTTGCATCCACCTACTGACCCTCATGGGTTCACATTTAGATGTGCTGGCAAAGAGATATAGGTTACAGCCATTATTTGGGTAAAGGATGAAGAATAGGTGTGAAATCCTCTTTGCAGAGGAGACAGCCTCAACACAAGGGCTGCAGTGATAATAGGACTTAGTAAGGAGTAATTAACAAGAGAAGTCACTCTTGACAGCTGATTATAATAGGTTGATTTGAATAGAACCTGATAGTAGGCAGGAATGGTTGGCAAGAGCACAGGTCCTTCCAGTAGAAGTGGAATCAACTTTCTTGTAATTGAAACACATTGTTTCTTTTCATGTATTCTTGAACAATTCTGAACACTTTCCGCTTATTTTCCATATGACAGCCCTTTAGATATTCATCTCTTCAGGTATCATGTCTCCCTGTTGTTTTCTTCAGGGTGGACATCCAAAACTCCAACTGTTTATTTTGTTTCTACTTCCAGGTCTGTCATCATCTTGGTTGTTCTCTGAACACAGTATAGTTTGTCAATATGCTTCATAATATATGGTGCTCAGAACTGGGCACAGTATTCTAGGTATGATCTGACCAACCCAGAATAGAAGAAAAGAAGAAAAATGAAGACTTCTTTTCATCTGGACACTGCAGTTTCATATATAGCTTAATAATATAGCTTAATCTGAATCTTAGTTCAAACGTGGGCAATAAACCTCAGAAGGTGTACCAAGATTTCCAGTTGATCTTCTATACTGTTTATGATAAATGGGTGACCTTTATGACCCTTGGTCACCTTATGAGCAAAAGTTCACAAACTTGTTCTGACAATAATAAAGTCATAGCTTTTTCAGGGACTTTCCAAGGATTTATTGGAACACATCTATCCAGTGTATCCATTGACTTCCTCTTATGCTTCTCTTGCCAAGCACAATAATTCTTTTTAATCCATCATCCGGTTACTACAAAGTATTTAAGTTTCTTCTTGCTGATTCTGTCTCTAGGGAGCAATTAGCCTTTGTTTGATCCACAACTGATTGACTGTTTCTTGTTGTAGACCCTTGTACTCTTTGTAATCATCTCCAGATCCATAAATCCAAGATGTATATTTTTCTTACTGTCTTTCTCAGTGTCCAGTTTTTACAGCAATACATTACTACTAGAAAGACCATTGCTGTAATTATTCTGATCTTTGCTGTCACTGAAATGTCCGTATCCTGCATGATCTCTTCTAGGCATCTTTTTCCTTCTGCTCTATGGTTAATCTTCTCTATATTTCTCCAGCACACCATTTCCATCTATTCCATCTATTTCCACTGTGAGGAATATTCTCTGCATCTGTCAGATAAAGTCGCTCGACTTTGCTTGGAGTTGACTTTGGCTGGGCAGATCTTTTGGAAGTGACTGAGACACACCTGAACCCTGTTATCTCGAAGGAGTTAGAGCCAGTTAATTCTGAGGAAGTGGACAGAGTCATTGTGGCTGTGAGCTCAGTCATCTGTGTTCTGGACCCATGCCCCTCCTGGTTGGTTGAGGCCTCCCGGGAGGTGACATGTGGCTGGATCCAAGAGGTGGTTAATGCCTCTTTGCAGAAAGGGATGGTACCTCCTGCCTTGATGGAGGTGGTTGTGCATCCCCTTCTCAAGAGGCCATCCTTGGACCCACCCATGCTAGACAACTTTCATCCAGTCTCCAATCTTCCCTTTTTGGGGAAGGTTGATGAGAGGGCAATGATGCTCAGCTTCAGAGGACCCTGGCTAAAGCAGATTATCTGGACCCTTTCCTTCTGGGTTCAGACCAGGATACAGCACTGAGACGGCATTGGTTGTGCTTGCTGATGACCTTTGGAGAGCTGGGGACAGGGGTGGTGCAACTCTTCTGGCTCTGTCAGCAGCTTTTGATACCATCAACCATATCTTCTGGACTGGCTTCAGGGGTTAGGATTGGGAGGCATTGTTTTGTGGTGGTTCTCCTTTCTCTGTGGCCTGTTTTAGTTGGTGTTGGCAGAGAGGAGAGAGGTTGAGCTCTATATCCCTGTAGTGTGGGGTGCCTCAGGGGTCTGGTCTCTCTCGTCTCCTCTTCTTTTCCTACATGAAACCACTGAGTGAGGTCATTCAATGGCACTGGATGCAATATCATGAGTATGCTGATGATACCCAGCTATACATCTCTACCCCTGGCTGGTCAGGTGATGCTGTTACGGTGTTGACCAAGTGCCTGCAGACTGTGAGGGTCTGGATGGGGAGGAACTGACTTCAACTCAACCCTAACAAGATGGAGTAGCTTTGGGTTTTTGGCCCCCCAGAGTTTGGTGATTTATCATCTTTGACTCTGGATGGGGTTGCACTTCCCTGGTGTGCAATTTGGGAGTCTTCCGGGACTCACAGCTCATGCCTGATGAGCAGGTGGCAGCGGTGGCTGGGGGGACTTTGCACAGATTGCGCCCTTTCCTTGACCCGGAGGCTTTGCTCATGATCACTCATGCCTTAGTCACTTCCGATTTGGATTACTGCAATGTGCTTTACATAGGGCTGCCTTTGAAGATCATTTGGAAGCTACAACTGGTCCAGAACACAGCAACACACACAGTAGTGGGTGTTCCTAGGCTCACCCACATTACACCTCTGTTGTGCAAGCTGCACTGGCTCCCAGTTTCCTTCTGGGTGCAATTCAAGTGCTGGTTATCACCTTTAAAGCCATACATGGCACAGGACCAGGTTATTTACGGAACTGCCTCTTCCTGAGAGTATCTGCCTGTCCTACCAGATCGGATGGGGTAGGTACGCTCCAGTCCCTTCCCTGAAATTTTGCCACCTAGTGGGAACTCAGAAGCGTGCCTTTTCTGTGGCTGCCCCTAACTTACGGAACACCCTCCCCTCAGTGATTTGGCAGGCCCCCACCCTTTCAGCCTTTCAGAAGACCATCAAGTTCTGGCTTTTTACCCAGGCACTGGGATAGAATCAGGATATCTGGAGTTCGTTGTGGGGCATCCCACGGGGATGATGTAGGTGCTGGGTTTTTGTTTTATGGTTTATGATTTTATAGTTACTGGGTTTAATTGTTGTTGTGAGCCACCCAGAGTTGTGTTGAAGATGAGCAGCCATACAAATCTTTTAAACAAATAAATAAATAAATATCCTAAAGTACAAGAAAACAAAATTACTTATCACCTTCACTTCCTCACTACCAACTATTAATTCAGCAACCATGCAAGTTTGTCAGTTCAATATTTAACCAAATCAGATTTTCCGTTTTTCCTTTTACATTCATAATGAGTTACAGTAATTAATTCTTTACTTTTGACTATCATCTGCATGTCTTGTTAGATTTTCAGTTTTGATTCCAGTTTTCTCCTTTTCTAATCCTGACATTCTTAATATTTGCTGTATAATGAAATTCCAGATTTGTGCAGATTAGTCAATTTGCATTTTACAAATACAAGTGCCTTTTATTTTTATTTCTTTGGTTTGTGTATAGCTTTGAACTTGATCACGTCAGATTCTGGCATTTTATTAAGGTATCACAAGCTGGATATAGTGCTATAGCAAAATATAACACTTGTATCACACAAGAAGGAACATATGCATCAGCTGTGCTCCCATCTCAATCAGTAATAAAACCTTCTTAGTAGGTTCCTGCATTGTAGGTTAGAAAATCCTATACTGCAATAATTATAAATTATGTGCTTAAAAATAGCATTTTAATGGGTATAAACCAGTCTTATTTTACATGGGATATATCTCTTATTAAACTGAATATATTTCAGGTATATAATACTCCACTAACTTTGGATCAGCCCTTTAAATTCAATCATGTAATTCTGTCATGAAAGCAAATTTACATCTTAAAAATAAAAATTATTGTGCTCTAGAATTCACCACTTTTTCTTGTCAGCATTTGCATAGGTTTTGCCTAGAGTAGGTTATGCTTCTGATGACCTAGAGAAGAGTCATTGCTTTTACAGTACATGTCTCATTAGTTAAATACAAAGAATTATTCTTTCAGAAAAGTACATGCAGGGCGTCTATCAACTATGCATTTTAGAAGGTACTGGAATAAATGTATCCAAGCCTTTACAAGTTAGCTGTTACTGAAGTAGTTGTTCAAAAATGTCAAAAAAAGAATAGCATTACAGAAATGTTTTCTTTTGGGTAGGGGGGAAAGAAAGAATTTATTGTACACTGTGTTACATGATAACTAGGTTGAAAGTATTCCAGGGTATTTGGCAATTGTTAGCTGAAAAAGAAACCATAAAACTTGCTTGTTGGTGGATATTTGCAACCTGACAGCTCATACTGGTCCGAGCTACTTCTTGTTTTGTAAATTTAGCTATTCACACTTGATGTTTTTTTCAAGGTCAAGAGTTTGTTCCTTTTCCTTTTACCTTACTTCATTGCAATTGGCCTTAAATGGTAGTACTTTGCCAGTATATTCACATACTTCTCAATAAAAATTCAAATTATACTTAGTTTGTAGTGAGAATATATCTACCATCTGCTTGCCAGGTCTTTAGCACAAACTAATGAAACTACGGATAATTGATATGTCTGTTGCTCCTATTATTTTGACTGTACTGAGCATTTATTTCACTAGTATTGTCATCTTAAAGGTCATTCTTATACTATTATGTTGTTGGGAATACAAGAGAAGTAAATGTAAAGTATAGATACTGACATTTTACATAGTATTATCTTTTGCTTACAGGTTATCCCTCCCACACTGAGTCACCTTGATAAAGCAATTTTTTTAAAAGGCAACATAAATTTAAAAATAAGGATTTTTTTCCCTTTTTGTTGCTTAAATCCTACAATGTCATCCTTTCTGTATTTTTGGCAATTAGAATATTTTTAGTTCTAAATTCATTATTTATATCATTATTTGGCATTAGCATGTGGAAATAATTATTTCCATCTCAAGTTTGCATCATTTTATAAAAGTAGTTATTTGTAATTTCACAAGACTCCATGCTTTCTAAAATGACAATTTCATATAAAAAGTTGGTGGTTCTACATAATGCATTTAAATCTCTTTCTTTATCCCTCCCTTTTCCCCTTTTTGTTATAGTAAATCCTATATTAATAGTTAAAAATGTAGCATATTCTCAAATGTAGCAGCAGTATGAATAACTTTTGTCTTATTAGGTGCCTTCCCACAAAGTATCTTTCTCTACTGAGTGCTGTTATCTAAGAAACATGTTGACAATGGGAAATCTACTGTAGGAATTTTGAATGTCTTATAGTTCAACTAAAATATGAAGTTCTTTTATGACCTTTCCTGAAAATTATAACTGTCAGTAATACAGTTAATTCTGTATACTTCTCTTTTCTTGCTGCCTTTACATTGGTTATAGATTTTGGTGGAATTGACATCTATAGGTAGTCCTCGGTTAAAGACCGCCTGTTCAGCAACCATTCAAAGTTACAACGGTGCTGAACAAGTGGTACTTCCAACTGGTCCTCAAAGTTCTGGCTGTCACAGCATCCCCTCGGTCACGTGATTGCGATTCGGGGGCTTGGCAACTGGCTTGCACTTATGATGGTTGCAGCATCATGCTATCACATGATCACCATTTGCAATCTTCCCTGCCAGCTTCCCACAAGCAAAGTCAGTGTTGCTCCTACCACCTTTTCCCTTGAGGAGCCCACTACAGAGTACAAGATGCCAGGGGCATTGTACTCCATAGCATGCGCCCACCTGCAGCATACACACATCCGGCTGCACTCCATAGCACATGCCTACCAGCATGGACATGCTTGTGCAGCACTGCAGCACCCACTCCTCTGCCTGGCCACACTCATGTGGTGCCACAGTACCCTTCCACCCAGCCACACTCCATAGCACTCACTCACCTGCTGGCCTGTTTGCAAGCCACCCGGGACTTGCAACTTCCTGCTGGCTGCCCATTGACTTTTTTTGTTGGAAGCCAGCAGGAAGTCACAAGTCGTGGTCACATGATATCCTCCCTTAATGATGGCAACAAAGACTGCTGGGATTTCTGCTGCTAAGCAATACAGTAATGTGACATCATGCTTTATAACTGCATCTCTTAGCGACAACAGTTTTGGTCTCAATTGCCATCATGGCAAAGTCAAAAGTATGGAAGCTTTTCTAAATACTTGCACTTTTTTTTAAAGCAGCCATATGATCTAGTCTGCAAGTTTTAAATATAAAATTATGTTGTAGGATAGAACTTGGAGTTGGGCACTATACACTTGTTCTGCCATATATCTGATATAGTTCATTTTGCAAATTAAGTCTTGCTAATAGTATACCCTTTATAACAATTAAACATTTTATGTTGCATTAATTTTTCTCAGCATTCCTAGAGACAAACTTGTACATTGACTACTGCCACTAAAAATGCTAGGCAGTACTGGCAAACCAGGGCTGCAGGTGGGTATAAGAACTATAAATTATATCAGGATTTCAGTGTGGGACCCTGCTGGAGTGTGTATGCAGTTCAGAAAATGAAAAGAGACCTGAAAGAGCTTCATTTGCTACATCAGCAGTTTTCATGTGTCCTAATAGGTCCCTCCCCACAATCTTTTGAGTGCTCATAGGCTAGTCTAGAAATATTTCAGTATTATTTTGGTATGTGATTAAATCGTCTCATAAAACTGATGTATACATTCTTTGGGGGTGTTTGCCTTAACCAGCATTGTCTGTTTCTATAAGCAAACAAATGCATTGGTGTAGAACTTTGGATACAGAAGCTTTTTCAGTTTAGAAAGCATATTCTTACCATGAACTTTACTTGCTGCCAATTCCCATGTAACATTGGCCACTTTTGTAAATTCCCCCATAGCAGAGGAAAGTGAATAACAAGAATATATGAATTGCCACATGAAAAAGTTGCCCCAATAATTTATAACAAACGAGCAAGGGATTTTACAAAAGGGTAAAGATTCTGTAATTCAACCATGTTTTGTTTTATTATAAATCAAAGGTGAAAAGTAGAAATAAAATCATTATTTCAAATAAACATTCCTGATTATGCATCACAGAATTTAGATAACCTAACCTTTGTACAATAGATTGTCTCTTGTTAGAACATAGGCTCTTCTAATTCAGTGAAGCACTGAAGGATTCTTATTTTCTATACTGTGGCTGGATATACTGTATGCCAACATATTTCAGTTGTAACTGGTAGAAACTGTTGCTTCAGCATATCATTTCACTTTGATGTAACTTCACTAATCTTATTTGAGTATTGGTTGAATATTAACTTCAAAAGAATAGTAAAACATTTTCAAGTTATTTAAAATACATATTAGTTTTAAAATATAGTTTTATTCTTTTGAGCCTCTTCAGCTATGGAATTGCTTCTATGGAATTTTGTTTATTTGTTGTTCTTTTCAGGCCAAGCAAATAAAATAGCTAAGGAAGCAGCTAACAGATGGACTGGTGCGTCTGCATTTATATTATTTTACAGCATTCATACTTATATGAACAAAAATAAATTCATGGAAAGAAACAATCTTTAATATAAGGTTTTAACTACTATTTTTTACAGAAAACTGACTTATTTGCCAGGTAACAGATTGCTAAAAGATCATAAAATAACTGTTATTGTTGAAGTTTGCCATTGCTCAAACATGCAGACATAAATATAATTTTTGCAATTTTTGATCCATACGTTTTAATGTTTTTGTGTGTTCTTAGTTGTACCCTCTCAGTTTTTTGTAGATATCATTTCTATTTTTGTTAGAAAATAGCATTATATATAAATTTGACTAATTCAATCTGCAAGTAATGAACAGAACAGGAGATTTACTATGTTCTAAATTCATTTATACCCCACCTATAAAAGTAAGATATCTTTTTGAAAATTAACAAAGTACTTGAATTAAAAGCAGTAAAATATAGGTGTATATTAATTTGGAGTTACTTGGGATTTTAAATTAAAGTGCACAGTAGTATTTAGTTCATGGTACTCTTCATATAAAGCAGCTGACACTTGCACAATAAATTTGCTTGCTCATTATCAGATATCTATTCACAGTGATGATATTTTATTATATATGATTTTATGCATCATATTCCTTCATTGGAACAGTTTTCCAGGAATAGTCATGTGTAATCAAGTCCAAAATAATTGGCACATAATCATGTTTCCGCTGCATCAGTTTTTACCACTGAGAAGTCAATCTGCATATTTTACCTAAAATGAATCAATAAACATGCAAATAATTAAATACGAAGGATTGTCTTCTTCTGTATGAAGCTGCCAGCTAATTGAAATAGTTTTTAGAGGCTCTTCTGTAGAAGTTTAGAAGTGGCCAGCAGAGAGAGACCCTTCTTGATTTTAGAGCTGCCATCTTTGAAATGTTTATATTTACGGTTGCATCTGGCAAAGTTCTTTTTATTTTTCAAGACCTTTATTTTTAAACTTTTAAAAATGTTTTTCCCTGTATTGCAAATGTATGTTTTTGAATTTGCTATTTCAATTGTTTTCCAGCCACTGAAGGGTAAAAAACAGTGTGTTAAATGTTTGCAAGTAAACTGAATATGTTAGGTATTAGATACTTGATTTCCTTCCTTGTGATTTTTCATCTTTGTAAGGGTTTAATATCAGTTGTCATATGGTCATCTCCTATATAGAATTCACTCACACTGAATAGGAGTAAACTCTGGGATAAATGTGTTATATGTCATGTACGTGATGACTATCTCATTCACGCACCTCATGACATATGAACACCTATCCTTAAGGTACTGGTTTTCCTCAAAAATGCTTTCCCTCTGAGTGCTTTGTTGAGCAATCATGCATTGTTGAGTACAATTCTTTCAAGGTTACAGTACCATCAGTTTTACAGTTTTAGTATCCATTTGATACTAAACTGGATGTAAGATGCCATGCAGGAAATACTGTGGCACTTGAATCAGCAGGGAAAATCAAGTCAAGTTTTTTGTTTTTTTTAATCAGCACTATAAAACTGAACAGTCATGAATTTTATTGTATTGAGTTGTAGAGAAATGGAATGGCATTTCAGTCTTCTGCTTCAGTGTAGGCAGGGAAGGATTGATTTCTTTTTTTAAAATCCTACATCAGATGAATAGGAATGAAACAGTCTTGGTTCAAACCTGGACAGAACCTAAATAAACAGAGCAAAAACTGGTCCCTGCTAGTATAGCAATCCCAAGACACATACGACTTTTCAAACACATGTAATTCCTCAGTTAAAAAGTGTGTATCTCAAGTTCTAAACACAGCAGATACTGTGCTGAACTGTTTGTTCTGTGGCTATTGTGCAATTAATTGCCTTTTGGAGAATTATTACCACTGAAGTGTCTCATACAGGAAAGGGGCTTCAGTGTAGCTCTTGTCCTCATCCCTACATGAGAATTGGCAATTACAGAATAATCAGTGTTAGATGTTGCAACTAAAAGGTGAATAATGTCTGAGAAGGGGCCTCAGGATGACAATTTGTGGAGATGTTATTATCTTCAAACATTAAGGGTCTTTTATTATAATCATTTGGAATGGAATACTTAAAGAAAACCCTAATATCCATTATTTTTCATCTATTTTGTCTACAGATAATATCTTTGCTGTAAAATCCTGGGCTAAACGGAAGTTTGGTTTTGAAGACAGCAAAATTGACAAAACATTTGGTATACCAGAAGACTTTGACTATATTAATTAAAAGTGTTTAGAAAGGATACCACATAATTTAATATTGTTCAAGATGTTTTTATTTTTTCTTTCATTTCCCCACCATTACTTGTATTGAAGTTAATAAATCTGAAAACACTAAAGTAATTTTGCTTGTTTACACTTTGATCTTCCTGATAATTGTCTCAAACAGAAAGCTGCACACACTCTATGCTTTAAAATCTGTTGTATTAGTTGCATGAAAAAAAGTAAAAAGCTAGTCCTTTACAAAATAGTGAGAGAGATAGGAAATTATTGTAATCCTTCTAGAATTATTTGAAAAATTAAAAGTATTAAAAGACCTGTGATCTGAAGGGGTGTTTTTTTTCTAGATGTTGGGTGAAATATATTTATTAATTCGAGTATTTTTTTTCCATGTTTTTAATTCAAAAAGGTCCCAGAGCAATTTCAACAGCATAATTAAACAGGCTGGTGATTTTTTCACTCTTCTTAAACGGAACTGAAAAACACTGAATTATTTTTAAAAGTAAAATCCAAAGAAAAAGGCAATTCATATAATTTAGTGGAAGAAAGAATGTACGATGATATTTATGAGCTTGCTTCTTAATACTGACTTTTGATGTAGAGCTTGAAGGTTTCCATTCTTATTTTTCATTAGACCTCATAGCATTGGGAATAACTTCAGCAGCAAAATCCATTTATTCAGGCCAGGGTACAAATATAAAACAAAGAAGGAAAAGATTATTGCTTTAGAAATTCTGGAAATGTTACATTTTATATGTGAACAAATTTCATACAGTTTATTTATTTTTTCCTATAAGCCTCTTTCACCAGCAGCAATTGCAGAAGCTCTACACTGTGTCCTATTGTCAACTTAATTAGTTCTGCGCTTTGTTTTGTTCAAGCTTATATTATTTCAATTCATGTTCAGTAAGCTACTTTGGATCCCTGCTGAGGTTGAAAGGCAGAATATACATGTTTTAATTAATTAATTAATTAATACTTCTTCTTTGTCTATTTTTCTTCTTCATATCTCCCAGAAAATTTGTTTCAGAAATAACCAGCACAAGGACCACAGATACATAAAAGCACAAGTTTACAGATATATAAGTATACAAATATGGCTGCTGATAAAGATTGGCATTGTTTCACCAAATTCTCCAATTCTTTCCAGGCCTTGGTCAAAGTATATAGTTAGCAAAATATATGCATATACGTATATTTCTATATACATTTAGCCAACCTATTTTCACATATGAAATCAGTTAATGGAATGTACTTATTCCATTATCACTCTAGCCACTCAGATCACTCTTTATGACAGTCCAAAGATAATGCATGTGATACAGATCTCCAGCTGACCAATCCATTGTGAGCGTTTTGCCTTTAAAAGTTTAATGCAATTTACCAAGGGCTTGTT